TTGGGGAACAAAATAAGTGGTTTTTTATCTTCCTGTCCAAAGCCGCCTTGACCCCATTGACCCCCTCCCCACTTATTACAATTGACGACATTGAGGCCATTTAATTTATGTTTTGAATAGAGCAGGGGACTCAAATTATCCGGGGACCACAGGAGGTAGAGTCTGAGTGATGGGCCGCATCAAGTATTCCACATAAAAAGTGACTACAAAATTAAGCCAAAAAGACATTAAAACTCAAATATTGAGTATCGTGTCGCCCCTAAACTCCATGATTAGACCCGGCAGTCACATTGCATTTCATTGTTAACAGCATTACATCCTTAGTAAGAAAAAAAAAATTCCCGAAGATCTAAAATCTAAAGTAAAAATACTCAGCTAATAAATGGTATGAAAATGATGAGCTTCTGTGAAACAAAGACGAAAATGCATAAAATAAAAATAAAAATATGGTGAGTCCAAATAGCGATTTCTGTGTCTTTATTTTTTTGTCTTTATGTGTCCTCACATTCCCTGACACCTCTCTTGCCCTCCTAAACCCCTTTATTAGTCCCCCCTCTAACAATATAAAAACTATGTCTCTCATTCTCTCTCTCTCTCTCTCTTTTCCTCTCTCTCACTCTCTGGATCTTTTGCGGGATTTAAAAGAGATTCTCGCATTCCCCTTTTGCCCGATATCAGTAGATCACCTCACTATTCCTACAAATCTCCCACTTACTTAACCCCAGACTCCTTTTATAGATTTTGTGTCGAACTCTCCACGCCATCAGAATAGTTATTTTAGTTTATTTTATTTTATTGGTTACCGTATATATATGTTTTTTTTTGGGGTCAGCTTCCATTGTTTTCTTTTTCAGGTTTGCCGCTGGAACCATACCTTGTTTGTCCAACTTGTTCCCTTAAAACAATGGTCGGCAAACTCATTAGTCAAAAGAGCCAAAAATCCGCACCAAGACGATTAAAAAAAAATTTGAGAGCCAAATTTCTTTTTATGAACCTGTCAAGAACCATGTTTTTCGGAGTCAAACCGGATTTGCACGTAGGTCACTAGAGAGCCGCACGCGGCTCGCAAGCCACGATTTGCCGATCACTGCCTTTGAATAACCGTTCAAACAAGGTGATTTAGGATCACTGAACCTATTGGACACATCGCGTCAGTTAATAAGGTAAGCTATCATAATAATTGTAAGAGGAATAAAGCAACTATTGTGTCATAATCTTTTCTATAAACTTTATTCTTTTGCTCGTGGCTGGCTGGGTGATGGATCGGAAAAATCTTCGAACGGCTAATTGACCCACATTAATTTTTTATTAAGTGCGTTAATTGTATGCATGTTTTGTCGAATTTTCAGCCCCACCCCCAGTGATCGATAAAAAGGATAGTACTTTTTTTTATAAAGGATTATAAACTTTATCTTTAGGGATTGTTTGATTTTTAAATGTTTTGTTCTATTGATATGAATGAAAAGTCAACATTTAAGAATCTTCAAATAAAGCTATGTAGTACCCAACAGAGCTTAGTGACGCAGATGCGCACCGAGCATTGCCCCATATTTCTGGCGGCTAGACAACAATAGGGATCCTACTTGCCGGTATTGCAGCCTGGTCCCGAAGACCCTAGCGCACCTGCTAACTGAATGTCCCTCACTAGATGTCCCGGGGAAGCCAGGGCGGTTGGAGAGCCCTACGTGAGGAAAATGTATGGTTCAGCTCAGCAGACGGAGGTGGTAGCCAATGTACTAGCCGGGCTCTTAAGAGAGTAATCTCAGACCTTCACCAGAATATGTGGGTTAGTTAGTGCCTAACACGGTGAGGATAAACAGAGGAGTTGGTATAGGGAAGAGGGTGGAAGTTGGGAGGGTAAGGAGGGGAGTTAATATGGGGAGTGGGTGGATGTTGGGAGGGTAAGGAGATGAGTTGGGATGGGGAGAGGATGGAGGTAGGAGGGTAAGGAGAGGCGTTGTGATTGGTAGGGAGTGGATGTTGGAAAGGTAAGGAGAGGAGTTGGGATCAGTGATTATTTCAGAAATTTTACCCCGGGGGCACTTCAGATCTTTCGGGGGGGGGGGCAGTGCCAGCAGTGCCAGTTGATTTTTTGTTGGACATATTTTTTCTCCGGGGGGGCACTTGGCTTTTCCCGGGGGGCAGTGCCCCCCCCCCCCGAGATTTAGCTGAAAGAAACCCTGATGGGGCTGGGGGGGGGGGTTGGGAAGGGGAAAGGAAATATTGGGTTCTTTGGATACAAGGCCCCCCCCCCCCCGAGATTTAGCTGAAAGAAACCCTGATTGGGATAGGGGAGAGGGTTGAGAAGGGGAAAGGAAATATTGGGTTCTTTGGATACAAGCAGAGAAAATAGTTCTCAGGTGAGTGAGTGAAGGTGTAAAGAATCAGGGAACGGTAGGATAAGTGTTGGGATAAATCAACAACAATGGCTGTAGCGCGGGATTATCTGCATTGCTTTGGGATATTGTCTGCGGTGGCAATGAGTTATAAAGATGGTGGCATTGAGTTAGAAAGATGAATAAGATAAGTTAGAAAGATAGTGTTAAATGAGTTAGAACTTGGTGGCGATGAGTTAGAAAGTCGACGAATATAAGTTGGAAAGATGGCTTTAATGAGTTAGAAAGATGACGAAGTAAAGTCAGAACGATGGTGGCGAAGAGTTAGAAAGATAACGAAATAATTTATTTATATATATATATAAACTGATGCGCGAGGCCCTCTAGAGTCGTGGGGCACTGAGCAAATGACCAGTGTGAGCATGCCGTAAGACACCACTGTGACAGATGGCGCCTATCAAAAACCGTATTGGTCAGGGATACAGATTACAGTTACTTGGATTTAAATTAAGCAACGTGCCTGGCGGTATTTAGATAATCTCTGTGGAACTCATACCATCATGATCCTTGTCTGCGCACCTGAATATTTTTTAATCATGATTGCATCACCAGAGCCGTTCTTATGAGTTTGGGGGGCCCTAAGCATGGAGCGTAGGTTGGGGGCCACGGAAAGGGGGGTCGGGGGTGGAGCTCCCTCGAGCTGAGGAGAAAGCACCACCCACCACTGCGGCACCTCCATTCTGGCTTCATCAACGTTTACTCTTTTCATTCCCACGACCAAGCCCCCGATTTCCTGTCTGCCACCCCAAAGCCCCCCCCCCTGCTGCTTCCCTTCCCCTGCCTCCGAATTCAACTCAGAATGATAAATTTCAGGATGAGGAAGGTAACGTGAGTGACACAGACGGCTACAGTGCCAGTTTAAAAAAAACAACCTGGGGATCGAGGGCGCCTCACGGGGGCCCCCTCACGTTCGGGGCCCTACGCGGATGCGTAGTCAGCATTTGCCTAAGAACGGGCCTGTCATCACAAATCATTGGCCGCAGTTTCTACACAATTATCACGCACGAGTTGCTAACCAAACCGATGGCGTAGCTAGGCTTAGTGCTGCCCGTCAAGAAATTATCCCCCCCCCCCCGCTAACTTCCCTGAACCAAAACTTTGCACCGACTGTCGCCCCATCTTAATTTAAAAAAGATGGCGTAGCTAGGCTTAGTGCTGCCCGTCAAGAAATTATCCCCCCCCCCCGCTAACTTCCCTGAACCAAAACTTTGCACCGACTGTCGCCCCATCTTAATTTAAAAAAAAAAAAAAAGTTCCATTCGGGGCGGAATGCCCCTACCATTCTCACGCAACTAAACTATCACCGTTTTAGTATAGACACTAAGTTAAAAGCAATTTTTAATCATGGCCGGTGATCTGCACTGCATTACTGCAATGTTTATATCTAGGGAGGGACCCTGCTTTGGCATCCTTGACTATTCATATTATTACAAAAATGTTTAAAAACGACTTCCAATCCAGATTCATGATATATGGAAAGTTTGTTTTAACTATGCAATTTGATCCATTTAATTTTTAGTTCAATTTATAACTTTAGGAAATTTTGCGTTTATTGTGTAGGAAAATGTGCTTTGTTGTGGTCATGTCATTGTTTTAATAAGTGACAATTTTAAAAAAAAAAAAAAAAACATTTCTGGTTAAGCCAACCTTGATGCGTAATTTTATCATTTGCTATGTCAATTGATTTCGGTACTTACAACTGTTTTCCTTAAAACTTTGTTTAGATTATCTGTTCAATAAACTGTAGTTGTCTCTTTTAATTTAACGTAGTTTCATTTAAGTAGATATCTTTGCCTGCTGTTAATTAATTATTTTAGGAGATATTTTTTGACGACTTTGAATGTAAAAGGAGATGGCAACAAACAAAATTAAAAAATCTAAAAGTCGAAGAAACATGAGCTTTATTGGCAGGCCAGACTTCATTTAAAATTTAAAAAGGGAATTTTGTATTTAAAATAGTGAATTCGAAGAAAATATTTAAAATGTTTTGGAGCATTTCTTTAAAAACTTGTGCACACTTATTTAACTGAAATTATACTGCGTAGCACGGGGGTGGGGGCTGTTGGCGAACTGAAGTAAATTACCCCAAATTAAAATCTTGGGGTTAATGACCATAAAATGAGGGCCCAATAGACGTAAATCAAATTATATTAAGTGCATTCCTTTTTACGAAATAATTCTCTTCCGACAACCCTGCATCTGGCCCAACTGAATAGTGTCTCGATAGCTAGCGTAACGGCACGTCTTATCTTTTACCGTATATGCCTAGTGGCCTTTTTTTTTAATCTTATGCTCAGACTTTACCCACAGACTTCGTCCTAGTCCGCTTGCTATGACACCCAGGATGGTGCAGCATTTGTTTACATGTGATGCGAAAAGAGTTTTCTGCTTTTAAATAATGACAATTTGGGAGTTTTCTCCTGAACTTTATTACCCAGTACTGTGATGTGGTTGTAATATATGTTAGTGATTAAAATATGTGATATATTGTTATCAGTTTCTCAGTACAGGTAGTTCAATTAAGACTAAAACCACCTGCAGGGCAGTAAAGTAATATATAAAAATAAACAAAAAAAGACAAATTATTTAAAGTACAAACAAGTGTTGAAAAAGGTATAGCTTTGTTTAATTCCACATGAGAATTACAATATCCATGATATCTACTACTGGTGTTATAACACAAACACAAATTAAATGACTAAATTATATGCACAGAGCACCCATAAAGCAGATAAATAAATTAATACAAATACACAGGCACCACCCATCACTTCATCCACTAGCATTAGCATCAACTGTCATTCTTCAAGATTTACATATGTACAGCGCCATAGCCAAATGAGTTCTCTACTTTTAAATAATTACATCAATTCGGGCAAGAGTTTCCTCATGCATATAAGCACTGATGGCGCACACAATGCAACCAAGAGAGGAATTCAATATTCTACACATTATCATTTCCCAACAAATATTTTGATAAGTTGTATTCTAATACATAAAGCAGTATGAATGGGAGGTTATAATGGACTTTGTACTTGTCAAGAAAAAATAATAAAAATACCCCACCCACCATGTTATTATAGAACTACCCCACCCACCAGATAATAATATAGTTTTGTATGTATAGTTCTGCAAAAACAGAATCATGTTGATATCCCAATGCCAATATTTAATTATGTTAATACTATTCAGGACATAGTTTACAACTCTAAACAGATATGTTGAGGCTAACCAATACATGGTTCTAACCCAATGGATTAAATTACTATTTAAAAATTAGGATTATGACATTTTAAAAATTAGCCATTATCCACCCAACAATTTTTAAAATGTCAAATAGAAATGTTATAAAAATGAAAACTTTAACAAATATACACAATCATTAATTTAAATAACTGCAGTTACAAGAATAGACTAAATGAGCCAATTCATTTTTTTTTTTTTTACCAAAGATTATTTTTAAAATGCAAGATCAGTTATGTAAATATGAGTTAACTATTCGTAAATTAATAAATGTGTCTAAATGATAAGGCAAGGCTACTCTAAAATTCAACTTCTGACTGTCCCAATTAGACCAGAGAATATCATTAAGACTGCCATAAAATTATTTTTATTACGGTTCCCTTAAAACTGGAAAACCAATTTAGTTGACATCCAATACCGGTACCTAATTTTCTGGTAAACTAAGTTTTTAATAATTTGGACCTCACAAATATGAAATGCAAGCAATGAAATATTTATCACAGGATAACAATATTTGAATCTTGCAGGAACAAGTTTTCCTTTTGCCTCTACAAAGATTCAAATGATTTCCCAAATCCAACAAACACTCAAACAAAAATGCCCTCATAATTCTGCATTCTTAGTTTCAACTAAAGTAATGCAAAGTTAAGTTGTGGGAAAAAATCATCTTAAAATCAGAAAACATAGGAGTGGAACAAAATATCACAACCTGATAATGAGTCTCACAGATATTTCACTGGTACCGGTATACATTGAATTCTAATTCTATTAATCTGATTTGGGTAGAGAAGTATGTTATCCGTTGTAAGCTATTTGTAATGGTTTATACAAAATTTATTAGTTAATTGCTTTTTTAAATTTCTACTTGTTAACTTATTTGTGTGTTCAAAGCAAAAAAGGTAAAACAGGTATCCATTGGGTTTAGGAGTTAATCATAAAAGGAATGAACATTACAAATGTAAAAAAAAATTAACTAGCTAATTATTTTGGCATATTGCTTCACTATAAACTTAATTAAGATATGGTAAAAAAAAAGGTAACATTGAAATATTAATAAACAATATAACAATTTAAAAAACACTTTTAAAGTATTGGAAAACTAATTTATTTGTACATATTACCTATAAGTTTAATAAATAGAAAACCTTGAATTGTTAAGAGAGAATGAGATACAAAACTTACACTAAAAAATATCAGATTGGGTTAGGAAAAAAAACCTATCAGATTTATTTGAAAACTCTTGTATAGAATTTTTTAAAAACAAAAGCGGTTGCAGTGGAAATTATTATAAGGAATTACAAATGAGTTATCACAGCATTATGACTTAAGGAGCTAACATGGTACTTCACTATCCAATTGCATTTCTTTTACACTACAAGGGTCCCTTTTTGTATGGACTCCTTGCTGCTGGCTGGCAGCCTGTGGTGTTGCAGAAGAATTATTCATTTCAGTGTTTTGGTTTGGACCAACAGTCCCCTGTGATGTTTCGCCATAATTGGCCTCAGAGGCCACTGCTTTAAGTTCTAGTAAATCAATTGCAGCTTCAATATATCGTACTGCTTGTCTTCTAGCTTGTCGTACATTTTCCAAATCTCCAGCCTCTACAGAGTCCAACTTCAAGAGATTTCTAGTCAGCATCTCTTCTATGAAGCGATACTGTTTATCCTTTTTGATGCCCTGAAATGAATTCACTTCACCTTCTAAAGACTTTACGGCATTCATGACACTATTTATGATCTCAAAAGCCTTTTCTTCTTGACTCTTAGGAGGCTGTAAGGCTTCTACCTCACATGGTTGTGGGGCAGAATCTTGAGATTCTTCTTGTTGTGTTGAAGGGCGTGGATCTGACTCATAATCTGGTTTAGGCTCTTGAGAGCGTTGTTGTTGAAACTGTGGCACTTGCGCTGAAGTTGGAATAGCCTGTGAAAAATCTGGATGAGGGCTAGCGCTACGAGGACTCTGTGTCCCTGACATTGGGTGTGGTCCAGCCCTAGAAGGACTAGGTCCTCGGTTATTTTCACGAATAATGGGGATGTTAACTGTTGCACGCTGATTTCCAGGATGTGGTGATTGAGATGAATAATCAGAACCTGTAGGATAAGGATACTGCATAAAAGGTGCTTGCTGCTGTTGTGGCTGCTGCTGGCGCAATGGCGGATTGGCAGGGCTTTGTCCTACATGTTGAATAGGAATCTCCCAAACATCTCCTCGCTTTCTTGGTACAGCAGATGAGGTCTGTGGGGACTGACTAGGATGTGGATAACTCAAATTATGATTTCCAGTGTGTTGAGTTGGCTCCTGAAAAGGCTGTCGTTGTGGTTCAAGTCCTCCTTGATAATGTACAGGAATTTCCACAGTTTTACCCTCTGACCCAAATCTGTAGCTTGGTAAAGGATATGTATAATGGCCCTGAAATTTATTTAAAAAAAAAAAAGGTTAGGATTTTGCAAATTTTATATCACATAAGCTTTTAATAACCACACCTTTAGTAAAAAAAATATATGACAATCTCCATTATTAGTACCGGTATTATAAACAACATTCAGGTTCAAGTCCTCCTTGATAATGTACAGGAATTTCCACAGTTTTACCCTCTGACCCAAATCTGTAGCTTGGTAAAGGATATGTATAATGGCCCTGAAATTTATTTAAAAAAAAAAAAAGGTTAGGATTTTGCAAATTTTATATCACATAAGCTTTTAATAACCACACCTTTAGTAAAAAAAATATATGACAATCTCCATTATTAGTACCGGTATTATAAACAACATTCCAATTACTCCAATCAACAGATGGGAATCAAACAAACCAGTGTAGGCCTTTAAGACTAATAACTAGGCACAGGGATGTAACATTGTATACTTTTGATAGTAACAATAAGTATTGTAAGATGAAATGATAAGCCTACCTATCCTAACAATACCGGTACTTAGTAGATTTCACACACTTAACTCAAATAATAAGCTTATACTGACTTATGCTATCCTGAACTCTGATTTCACACACTAAACTGAAATAAGCTTACTGAATTCTGCTATCCTGAACGCTGGCACACCATGACAACTCTATCAATCGCATAAAAATAGTATTGAGTACTGGTAGGCCACATACAAATTCAAAGTGCTGCTTAATGCTATACTCAATACTCATACTATGGCCCATTAAAAAATGTAAATAAAAATACTTTAAACTGTAAGTTTTAGTTGTAAGCTAATCAAATTTAACTCTCACGCCTATCTTCATCTTAAATTTTAACCAAGTGAACAAAGACTAGACGCCGGTGTAAATGTTTTGAAAAATCCTGCCTCCCTACTCTTACAGCAATTTAAAGAACTGGATTTAATTTAGAACATGACGAGAGAGCTAGAACGAGTATTAACAATTAATTTTAAAATAAGACTATACAGTATACAATATTAAACTTACCATCATCTGACGTGGATCTTGCCAAGTGGTATTCTTAGTGTTGTGGTCAATGAAGTAAGGCCACCCAGAATTACTATCGAATTTCATTTCCCAGCCGGCAGGTAAAGGGTCGTTTCTTTGATTCGTATGTGTGTAAGGCATCGAATGAAACTGACGATCCGCCATTGTCGCAGTCTTTTATGGCGAAGTTCTCTTCTCGAAACATCGGACCCTGAAACTTCCGGAAAGATGTCGATCACCGACGAGTCTTTTCGTGAACTTTCGGACTAAGGGAAAATACTCGTCTTGGTAATAATATTTTTTTCTCTTCTTTCTATTGAGTAGGATAAAATATTCTGAATTACATTACATTAAAGGAAAAAAAAAAAACGACATTGACATTCTTACAATTATTTAAATTATAATTCGTGTAATTAGCCCATTATGACTATTTCACCTATACTATTTGTTTGAATTATTTTATTTGTATTAAATTACGTGTATAACTTATATATATTTTATTATATTTAGACAAATAATATTTGAACTGTAAATACTAGTAAGTAATACAAGTGAGAGACCTATGCCTATGAAATGATGTAAACTAAAAACAATTCATTTAAATATAATTTAATATAACTTATAAGTGTAAGTAATAGGTAACAGACCGAAATTGAATTTGATAATTGTATATTTAAGTGCAAGTATATTAATATTAATTATTACAATGCAGGAAACAATTACCGGTATTTTAAATATTACATTAAGGGAACAATGCAATAAATTTAAAGTTTAGAATAGAAACTTGAATTTGAATTGCTCACTAAACCATTCACTTGCTTCATTAATCACAACACTTATTAAGCCTACTGAATTACCAAAAGACATAAACAAAATATTTATGTTAGGTCTCTGGAAGTTATTTATATATGAAACTAAATATTGTTACTTATGTTATACTTCATCAAGTCTCCACTTTTGGTTTCAGGCTGCTGCAATCTATTTTCATATTATAAATATGATGTCATTGTTCAAAATTTATTTTCCTTTAATCCCTTTTCCATACCCAGTATAAATTTTTAAAATTCAATTTGTTATCTTAACCAACTTTACCATGCCAATTGGCAGTGCAAATTTTAGTTAGGCCTATGAAAGATCCTGACAGGTAAGGTGAGGTGAACCCTAAAAAATTGTGGAGAGCCATTGCTTTCTAAAACTGATTAACATCAACATATCATGATGAATTGTCATTTAAGATGATTTTCTAAGTAATTTACCAGTATCAAAATTTAAGAGAATAAGCTCAGCTTCAAAGGCATGATAATTTTATTTACACAGTTGCAATTTATTGTTAGCTTATTTGCAAAGCTGTTTTCTTCTATATAGTTAAGACGACATTAAAAAAAAAAACACCTAGAAAATAAAGCTATATTCCATCATGCAAAATGAAATAGTTTGTTGTCATTATTCACACACTGATTTTGTATCTATTAATTTGGTGCATATTCTCAGTGTACACCATTCTATAAAGAGCCAACAAAATCAAACGACCCAAAGATCGCCACAAATATTATTTCAGTAGAATGAGATGATTATCTCAGCCATCTACGGTATGTTAAATCATGCTTTGGCTTAAAACAAGAGTTCAACAAGAAGATTGCAACCTAAGACAAAAACAACACAAACTACACTGGAACCAACATACTTGAGACAAGAGGGTTAAAAAATACTAAAGCAAAGAAGGCAAAACTACATCACATGAAGTTGATTTTTGCATGCTATCCATTCAAAAGGTCGACAAATGTTGAGAAACTTTGCTCTAATGCATGGGAAAAAAAAACAAACAAGGCTCAAACACAAACAAGAATGTTTTTGGTGGTGTTTTTTTTTTACCCCTAAGGTTATAAAGAGAAACAGGCAGTTTATTTAACAGAAAAAATAAAACAATTGTAATTAGTTAAATTAGTGGCACAAGCAAATAATTTTTTTAAAAAATAATCTAAACACACTTTACAGCATTTATCTGACTTATTTGGTAACAAATACAATATTCAAAATCCATTCACATTTCTGTTTATGGAAAGGTACTTTACTTTTATTTCTTTCATTCACAAAAAAAAAAAAATACAGACACAAGTTCAAACGAAATAGCCAATATAAGTGGAATTAGAAACAAAATATTCATTATGATATTTATTTTAATAATATTCATTGACAGTGTGGAAAAAAAGGTAAATGGAAAGAAAATGATTGCATCACTTCCTGCTTTCAAGAGATGAATTGGATTTAATGTTCTATCTAATAAAAAAAAAACAAAAAAAAAACATCTATCTAATAAAAAAAAAACAATCTCTTTCAACATTAAGTTTATTTCAATGTTCAAAAAATAATATTTCAGATTTTATGTGATGACTGTATTAACAAAAGAAACTATCTCACAACAAAGTCTGTTTTAAAAACAAACAATAATCTGAGATGCCTGTGACTCTTCTGGTCTGCCTTTTAAAACATTTTTATGTCCAAAAAAAAAATCAATCAATCCCTCCAACACACACAAATTTTTTTTTTTTGCCACAAAAATGGACATTAAATATTAAAAAATAAAATGTAAAAAAAAACTAGTCAACACTTTCTCTGTTCATAAAGTTTGAAACTCAATTCAATGCTACACACATTTGTCAAAAACAAATCTTTAAAAACAATCCTTCAACAATCACATTCTGTAAAGGTTAAGGAGTTCAATACTGGACAGGTGGTCAGGTCTCAGAGTGGTCAGAAGGGCACAATATTTGCCTTGGTGTGGATAGTCTTGACACTTAGTTTAGGTACAAGATCACCATAAGTCATCAATAAAATGCATCATTTCAATTTTCTATGTACATCTAGGTAACTTCTTATTTCCACATTCTCCTTTCCAATAATGAACCTTGATTTTGTTTACTTCCTGGTTATATTTTATTTTTTGGCCAATTTCTGTTAGTGTTAAACTAATTTTTCTCCTTGTTACTTTTTTATTTTTGAATTAGGCTTTCTGCTGGTACACCTGTCAAGTTATTCTGTTCTACATTTGAAGCTTTCTCCATATCTTGCTCTTAATATTTCCTTTTCACACTATCTCCTCAACATTATCCTTAGTATTTAGTATAGAAATGAATAATTTTTTTTACCAATCGGCAATTTCTTTATCCAAAAGAAAAAAAAATTCAGTTTAAAATTAGTTACACACTAGAAAAAATTCAATTGCTGAACCAAAGTAATCAGAAAATCAATTGATGAGATTAGACAAGCAGCATGATTTGTATTACTACTGTGCTCATGAATCAAAACTATATGCTTGAAGATATGGCTAGAATAAACACAATGATACATGGTACCACAAAAATTACATCTCTGCTCACAAATTTACCTAATGTAGTTAGGTGAAGTCATTTTAGTATGGCATTCCAGCCGGCCACAAACACCAAAAAAAAATAATAATCTCAGACAGGGACATTTTTGGGTTAAAAAAAAAAGGAGTTCCATTGTGGCTTACACATATTCATTCAAACCTGAGACATTGCAAGTACTATGTCAAAATACAGTAGCTCACAGCTTTGAACAACATATATGTTGGGGGATTCTCTTTTCATTAAGTTGGGCGTGAAAATTTAATTGTTAAAAAAATTATTTTGTGTATTTTAATTAATGTTTTATTTTTAAAATTGAATATAAATATTTCATTGAATATCAAAATAAATATTTTTCAAAATTCAGTTCCATTTCAAATAAATCAGCTAGTAACTAAATCTTTCATAGTTCCAGACACGTCAAATCAAATAAGAACAACATCCAATTTCTCGATAGATTAATCGAACTATGAAATGTCATTTGTGAATGATTGTTATTTAATTTTTTTAAAACTCGGACAAAATGTAGAAAATGCACATCAACTGATGCTTCAACAACTTTGAACAAGTTTTAAACCCAGACCAAACCAGACTATCATTCAAAATGCTTGCCACACATTATTCTTAAAACAACTATTTCATTAATTTTCCTTAATCTTAAGTTTTATTAGAAAATAAAAAAAGTTTTGCAAACTTAGTCTGTATATAAATAATACATCCATCAAAGGTGAGGGAGGGGTTGGAGGAAATTATTATAGCATAAGCACACAATGAAAGATGAAGTTAAATTTTTAAACAGTGCCTAGTTGTCATCCATAAAGAAAGAGAGGAATTTCTGGGTCATATATATATAAATATATATATATTTAGATAGATGAATAGAAATGAACAATAAATGTCCATGTTGTTTTCATTTCATTCTTTAACACAAAAAACAAAACAAAAATAATTAACAGCATTAAAGGAATTAGGATTAACTATACCAAGACATATCCTCAAATGCACACATTGCCATCTTTATAATAATGCCTTATTATATTGAAAACATATTTTAACTAGTGTCCATGGCCATTATTTCCTGTCCAGTGGACATGGCATCTTTCTGGATGGTCTCATACATTGTGGCCAGCTCTGGGGTGGCCTTGATGTGACTCATAAAGTCATTCATCTGGGGGCTCTTGTCTGAACAATCAAAACAGAACTTTTAAAATAGACACCAAATGGGTTTACAATACATGGAAATGTTATAATTTTTTTTTTTTTTAAAGTTACACTTTATCTAACAGCTTTACTTATTGGTGTCATTATTTTCATTAGCAGAAAATTAAGGTAGAGCTATTAAAAACATATAAAAATGAGGCAGATCTTGATAAAGAAACAAATTAAAAAATAATTAATTGTGCCTCTCAACTTTAAAATAATGATTGATTTATCTGATCCTGCCAAGTAACTTTATTTTACTTGTTTATATTTTTGGCTTCACTGCTGCTGGTTAATTAATTAATTCTTTGGGTTAAAATCTTCACTTTGCCTTGTTAACACAATGTTTAAATGTTTAACTATTCCTTTTTTGCAATACAGCAGTCCACTTCCACAATTTTTTAATATAAAAACAAAATATATATAACAAATAAATGTTTCACAAACCTGCATCAGGAATATTAAGCAAGGCCACCACAGCTCTTAGGGCAGACCTCTTCAGCTCTTCTTGTTTTTCATACTCTTGTTTGACTGAATGAGCCTTAACTTTGGTGGTGCAGGTAGCCCTGATTGGCTCAACAAGCCGATCTAAGCCTAGGTTGAAAAGATAAAATATACCCAACTAATTACCAAGATTTACTCCTGCAGTATAATTCTTAAAGTTTGTTGGATATTTTAAAAAATCTGACAAATATTTTGATTGTATTTTAACTGATTTGTGTAATGCAAAAACTATTAGGCAGTTTATTATATGAACATGATTGGAGTGTTCAGTCAATGAGACTTACGTTGAAGCACAGCTGATGGACAGAGATGGGAAAGTCTGACAAGCATTAAGTAGGTTAACATCTTGATGTCATAATGGTCTTTAAGTCCATCTTCAACATGATTAAGGAACTCAAATATGTCAAGACGGTCAAGACATGAATCGAGGAGTGTGTACATACATTCAAAGGCAGCCTGGTAATGGAGAATGGAATAGTCACTGAGGTTCATTATTCAGTTTTTTGTCAATACTGAAGAACTCACTGTGTTAACTTTTATTTTTGTGCTCTTTTCAATTTATTTAAATAAATAATAATAATTTATTAAAAAACTTTTACTCCATAATTACTTATTTACTGAAATAAATTTTATAAGAAAAGTTGTTATAATTTAAAATAATTCTAAATGAGACCCAACATATTTTAAATCATTTACTATAATCAAAATCATTATATTCTACAACTACCCCAATTTGTTAAAAAATATTAAAACATTTTAAAAAAAAGATATTCATTTTCTTTGGGAGTAGAGGGTTAAAAAAAAGCCCATTGCTAAGTGTAGGCCAACTTACCTTTCTGATGTCCAAGCCATCATCTAGTGTGTGCTTGAAAGGCCCCATCTCAACCTCACGGATCAGTTCTTTCTGTGAGAATTCATTCATTTAACAAAATCACAAATGAATCTAAGCAACAACTCATATAGTGTTAAACTGAAAAATTCATTTTTCATCTGATTAGTATTAATTTGTATATCATTTCTACAATAAATTAGGCTTCAAATTTTTACAGATTTGTCTTAAATATTCAGATTACTTAACGGTACAGGTGAGATAATATTGAGTATTGCTCAGTGGGAAAGTTATCACCTATCCTAGAAGAACACCATCACTTGATTAGAAATTCATCCTATATTCAGGATGGAACAAACTATTTTTGGTCTATGCTAATTTATGCTAATCACTTATATTCTATATATATATCCTAATCACTTATATTCAATATATCATAATCACTTATATTCTATATATCCTACTCATTTATATTCTTTATTACTGTGCACAGTAGCTTTCACAACAAAAAATATCAACCCAGTAACTCTTTTAAAAAATTTTTTGCGTCGTATTAGTTTAAACATAAAATCGTGGGTTTCCTATGTTAAAAATTATTATTTAGCAAGGAGTGAACTATTGTGGAAATAAAATTGATGGTTAATCAGCAATGAAACTTCATAATTTTATCGTGATGTCAAACCGAATTTTTTTTTTATCAATGCCAGCAATTTTTATGGGTGCCCTATATTTTATAAAAACCTACATAGGTTAAAAATTTATAGTATATACTCAAATTAAATTTCATTCCTCATAGTTTTTTCAGTCTGGGATCTAGCAAAACAATTTTTACTTCAGCTTAAAGTTGTGAACATTTGTTTTTTGTTAAATACTGTGGAGAAAAAAAATAATTGTTTGTGCAGTAAAAGTACACATGCCTTCATTTGATCCTTTAAATTTTTTTTATTTAACATTATAATTGTTAAGTCACTCACTCTGACTTTAGTTTCGTTGTACAAGTGCGGTAGAACTGTCTCGAGCAAATCTCTTATTAGCGATGGCTTATTGTGTGCAGCTGAGTTGAATGTCACCAGTGCGACCCGACGCACTGTTAAATCTTCATCTTGTAGTGTGCGCAAAAAATCTCCAATACACATTTTTAGTAAGGGATCAATAGGTTGAGGCTGTAAATTGTTTATTGAAAGTTTTCATGAAACAGCTTAAAAATATGTTCTAAACTTGACAAAAAAAATAAATTATTTTTTTTTTACTGTAGCCAGAAATGTTTATCATATATACATAGAGAAAAATGCAATAAAAATTCTAATATTAATTGAAGAAGTGTTAAATTTAATATGCATTTATTAATCATCTGGTGTTATTTTAATGTTCTAAGTACAAATTTTTAGACTTTTGCTGACATGAAGAGGCAATTTAAAAAGAATAAACTTAATCAAATTTTAAAAACTAATTTACAGTACAGATACAATTTATCAATGAAGAACAATTACAATTTAAATTTAAAAAAAAAAAGAAATCTATGTTCTTATGTTCAATTTTAAACAAGTAATTGAGGACATGGTTATGATTCATGAACATCTTACGTTCTAAACCCTAACCTGATTTTTATGCTTAAAACACTATGCCACAACTCATTAGATGTGTTTGAATAAACTTAATACCGGTATGTCAAACCTACGTTGGTGAGAATTAGTAATTCAGTAAGTTGATGCTTACCTGGTCCGATATAGTAAACTTAATAGCTGTGACGACTGTGCTGCGAGCAAGTGGTGAGGCATCGTTGAGATGCTGTTGTAAGCTACCAATCAGGTTGTTTGGGTCAACCAGAGTCAGCTTTCCCATACACTCAGAAACTACATTACGAGTTCCCTCCTCTGGACATTCACAGTTATGGAACAGCATTGTCCTGAAAGAAGTAGTTTTTTAAAATTTCATCACAAACTATTTCTAACCTGCCGTCAAGAGAAATTATTCAGTGACAACTCCTTATACATTTTTAAAAAATAGCTAAAATCTGCAGTCAAAAGTATGTTACTTCCTAATAATTGAAAAAAAATTCTTTAAAAGATGCTTATTTTTTTTGTTCATTGTTAAAAATAATTAAAATTGAAGCAAGTTATTTATATAATTTTCAGATTAAATATATGGGTATGGAGTAAGCCAAGCAGGTAGGATGGAGGCCATGGGCAGAGATATTAATAACAACATCAACACCCATTATCAATTTTTATGTTAAAAAATTTTGAAGGCATTAGCTCAGTCTAAGGTATTTGAGTCACAAACTACTGTGTACTTGCTTCTATTACCACCACACAGGCATGAGAAGAGATGTTTGGAATGACCATTATTTGTTTTGATGAATCATTAAATAATGAAATGAAATAGACTTACCAGATTGTCTTGACATAGGACTTCAATATTTCCAACCCAGTCTGTGAACTGGACTCACAATTGATAATCTATGAAATGAAAAAAAATAAGGTAATAGTTTATCTATTTATCTGATTACTTCATGACTTAAGAACAAGAGACTGGTACTAACATTGATTGCAATCTTGCTGCCTGCACACCACCAAGTTTTAGTATATCCTAAAGACCACAGAGGGATTTATGTTGCCTAATGAAATAAAAAAAATCAACCCTGAATAAGAACATGTGTTGATGTGTATCTGTCTTCGACCCATTAAAATATCTTAACGTTGTATCTTCTTTACTTGGCTTACCAAGTAACATGGTACTTTTAATATGATTTCTGACATGTTGAAGCAACAGTAACTTCTAAAGAGCTTAAATGCAAGCCGATGACAAGCTTTATACAAAATAAGACATGTTTATCATTTAAAATATAAACATCGTGCAAGATATATTTACGCCAACTCATATTTATTTACCATACAATGAATAATGTTTAAACGTTGAGTTTAATTTACCTCTTTCAGGGAGTGTAACAACAAATACTGTCTCTTTGGCTGGTTTTCAATCTCTTGTAAAACAAAGGGTAAGAACTTTGGTAGGTTTCCAACACTGACATTACCTGGTTGGAAAATTTAATTTAAAGAAAATGAAACCAAAATGTAACAAAATATATTGGTCTGATGTTATGTGACCACAAGCTTTAAACCTTATGAACCTGTAATCCCACTTAATGGTCACGTCCATGAACTTTAACATTTTGTTATGTTTTAGTCTTGATTCTTCAGTGAACGGATGTGGCAAGAATTGCTAATCTAAAGAACTAAAACCAGAGCATGTTGATGATAATGTGAATTATACAAAAGATTATGATCATATTTTGAATTATGCTTGCTTGTTTGGCATGGCTATTTTAGGTTGAGGGAATCAAGGTTTAAAGGAACTTTGAAGGGTATGTACAGCTATCCTTGATTAAAAACAATTTTTTTTTGTTACTGAATTTTGAAAATCAAACACTGCTGTAGAAGTAGAATCTATTGATGCAGAAAGTGATATTGATGTTCCTTTGGATGAAAATGAGTAAATTAAAATGAAAAGATTGTGTTGGGGGCTAATGCTAACATTTTGGGTCCTGCGAAAGGGGGATGGGGGCACTGGCTATGGGCATGCCAAAATGGTATTTGGATAGGTCATTTATACTAATTTATAGTCAATTAAACAATAAAATGCCATCTACAAAGACAATGGGCGCCAAAATTCAAGTTTTTACAGGGCGGCACATTTTTCTATCAAGGGTGAAAACTAAAAATAAATGACAGGTAGGTTTCCTAATAGATAAATCAAAGATTACCTAGAGCATAAGAAGCTGCTGACTTGACTTCCTCATTGGGTGAGGAGAAACATTCTAAGATCACAATTTGGATGTCCCCATGAGGACTCAGGTCACTGGGGACAAAATAAACATGTCAAACCCCTTCATAAGGTCATTGAAACATTCGGTTATGATCTGTTACCTAGAGTGATGTAAAACCATTTGCCTGAGACAAGCTTTATCAGTATATTGCTAACAGTCTTGTAAATCTCAGTTATCATCATGTATTATGGTGATTTTGTAGTTAAGCAAATTTTAATAGTTTTTTTAATAAATTTTTGTGTGCCTTGTACAGTATGTTTGATTGTTGTGGTTTTGATACATGATCTTAAGAACATAACAGAGGATGTAATAAAAACAAATGTTGAATTTTTAAAAAATACAATGGACGAGACACATTTTATAAAGGTACCTAAATAAAAAGAATTACAATAATTATTTTTTGTAATGTAATTATCTAATCTCAAAATATGCACATCTTAAGAAATAATCTATTCATTACAACAGGTATATTAACCAGCCTCCAATCCTAATTAATAAATTAAGCGCACAATCATGCTGGATGGGTAAACTTAAGCTATTCTTTTCTCTATGCTAACTCCAAAGCTGGTTGCCTACTAAACAACAACAACCCACTCTGAAAAAAAATTAAAAAAACCCAACTAAATAATGTTTATGCTCATATCACTGTACAAGTGGCACTCACATATTTTTTCCAATTTCTCCCAGAGCCAGCAAAGAGAAAAGAACAATGTGCTCAGTAGACTTTGGATTCTTGATGTCACTAACAAACTGGGAGACCACGTTGGAAGCTTCTAGTGGGCTCATCTCTGTGAGTGCAGCAACACAGCGAGCGATTGAATGGTAGGCCTGCGGACAAAATAAACAGAAAAAATAAGCAGGAATCACAAATTCAAAAACTAAATGAAGTAATCCTAATCATTCAAATTTTTGGCGCAAAATATCAGGTGACTCCGTGGTGAACTGTAGTATTGTCTGTCCCATACGGTAGAGGAAGAAGGTTCAATTTTGTCTGTGGTTGTTCTCTGCTATAGGCAAACAGCCTGGTGGAATCAGCCCAGTAAGACAGCTATTGGTAAGGAGTAGGTAAGCCCTGAGTAAAAAAAAAATAATAATACAAAAAATAATTTTTTTAAAAACCCACCAAAGTCTAAGAATAGCAGCCAAATGAGCACAGGATTAACAATAGGGTTAACAGCAGCCAAATGAGCACCAGATTAAGGAAAGGGTTCACAGCAGCCAAATGAGCACCAGATTAAGGAAAGGGTTCACAGCAGCCAAATAAGCACCAGATTAACGATAGGGTTCACAGCAGCCAAATTAGCACCTGATTAACAATAGGGTTTCTTAGTTATTAAAAAATTGATTTATTTCATTTTATTGCCAAGTTAGCCTTTATTAGTGTTACCCTAAAAAAAAAAGATAATAGTTTTGAAAATGAAAGTCTGTATTTTTTTTAAAAATATGTATAGATAAGAAATTGAATGGAAGAGAGAATTAACATTTTTAAAGGATGAAAAAAATAATCTATAGCTTTAAGCAGTATTGCGGATTAACACCCCCCCCCCCCCTTTTGTGTAATTAAAATTGAATGGAAGAGAGAATTAACATTTTTAAAGGATGAAAAAAATAATCTATAGCTTTAAGCAGTATTGCGGATTAACACCCCCCCCCCCCTTTTGTGTAATTTGATAAAACCTATAAAATAAATAAACTTAAGTACATTTAACCCTTCATGTTAATAGTCTACTATTCGGATTGATTCCCACCCTCCTGTGACCGATAAACAATGCTGCTGGGTGCCGTCCATGGTGTGACATGTAAATAGTTCTGGGGTTGGCGGGGTGAATATATATTTTTTTGTTTTTATACAGCTCTTTTTTAATTAAATAAATGTATGTAATTTTTTAATGTCATGATTGTGTTTGCTAATATTTTTACGTGCAGCCCGGGGAGCCAAGCCCAAAGCCAAGCGCTATATAAGACCACTGTAATAATAATAATAATAATAATAATAAGCTAATGGCCTTGATAACAAAAATAAGTAAAATTACAAACAATTCTTTGTTAGTTATGGAAGGCAGTTTAAAAGATAAAAAATAATTTATTTTTTAACTATGGAGCATTGATCGTAATAAGAGGAGAGACTGAAATCAGGTTAGGTAAAAAGAAATGAGCGAAAATAAGTATGGGAAAACATGAAAAAAAAGGACACTACAAAACAACAACATGTCGAAGAGAAGCTTTCTTCAGCAAACCAACAACAGTAAAAACAATATAAAATAAAAATAAACACTTGGCTGCATTGTAGCATCCAAGAGGCCATTGATCATCTAATGGAGCATTGAGAAGTAATAAATTACTTAACATAAACAATAAAAATGTATTAAGGACTTAGACATAATTTTTAAGCTGTAGGGGTAGACTTTACCTGTCTATGGATAGGTCCACTTGTCAGTCTTGTGTCATACACAGGCAATATCAGCATCTGCAGGTGGATGAGAAAAATTGGGTTACTACCATAACCTCACACTTTGACAATGTCATTTTTTCCCTTTGAGTCTTCGAAGCTTATTTAAATAAAATTATTAAAAAAAACACAATAAAACTTTTCTCACAGCTTTCATCAAGACATTTTAACTGGAACATACACTAAATTATATCCCACTTATGTGAATGTGAGGCTTCAATCCTGAACAAAATGTTACAACTCTGACATTAGAAGTTGGTTATACCAGAATGTTTTTGTGTGTGTGTTATGGATATAAATGAATATATTTTGTAAATTTTCTATTCTAAAGCTTCCACTTAAATTGAAGACGTTAGTACTTGAGTCCAGATAAGAATATCTCAGACTTCGACTAAAATTCCTTTAAAAAATAGGGGAGCATTTCTTTAATAAGATAGGGTCAATGTAGCCTCTATAACATCCTAAAAAAATAATAATTGGGTATTATAATGGCTTAGGGATGTTACCTGCAAAAGATCCCTGAAACCAAGTTTAGGTAGGTTCAGTGCGATTAGAGCGCGGAAAAACTCTAGCACAGCATTAAGGGCCCCTCCCTGAAGAAGTGGTGACTGGACAAGGATTAAAATCTGAGGCAGAATCTCAGTCTGAATGTTGGAGATGGACTGCTTATGACTTCTGGAGATTGTGGTCAGCAAGTTCAAGGTCAGCTGGAAATTACAACAAAACAACAGGTGAAGAGATTTAAACATTCTGACAACTGTGCACATGAAGATTTATGTCTGCATCTTTATTAAGTTTTTGTCTCTTAAAATGTAAATTAAAATGTATTTTTAACCCTTTACACAGATGATCGCGATAAACAAAAACCAATATGGCGGGGATATATTAATATGTGCTTGAAATTTCTTTATGTACATGATGTGCGTTAATAAAGGCAGGTACTTCAGTAAAACAAAATAATAATTTTAAAAATATTACAGTTATTTAGAGCAAATTTCAAATTTAAAAAAAAAATGAAACCAGAATCAACTTTTAACTTTAGTACTTAATGAGCTACGAATTTTTTAAGTGCGAGTTCGTTTGGTATTTTCTACTATGGACGAAACCTCCACATTTTGTGACCTTATTCTGCTGATCGTGTCTTGCCAGTAACTATATAGCTTATATAAGGCAACGCATCCCCTTATTTCTAAAATAGTATTTAGGGACTAGTTATTTTGAACTTTCAATTTTGGCACATGACTATTTCATTAAAGCTTTCCCTGACCAATGGTTTAATAGCTTTTTCACACGGCAAACTCTTATGAATGAAACTCTGACATAGTACCACAGCACAGCCATTATGCAAAGTGACCGTGAATGGCTGCCCATGACAACGTTTTGCACACTGCAAATTATGATTATTTATAGTATGGACTCTACTGGGCTTTTAAACCTCGAATTAAAACATACTTATTTAAATTACTTCTAGGTTCATTCTAAAACACTAGTCCTGTATTTTGAAAAATAAAAATAATTATTTTTAATTATGAAAAACTTGTTTATTTGTTGTTTGCTATTTCTTGTTGTGGAGTGCAAAAGCCGGCGATTGGTCATGGGGATCGAGATAACCAAGGTTAAGTGGCAAATTTGGTTGCCTTTTGAGCTCGAGATATCAGGGTTTGGCGACATAAAAGGATCAAAATAACCCAGGCGAAAATGCTAAGACAAAGAGAAAATTTGGCGGTTCCACTTAAAAATGTCAACATAACAGGGTTGGCGAGTTAACCGAGGTTGAGATAAGTGGGTTCGACTGTATTTTGCAAACAGATTTGCAGCCAATCCTAAATTTTTTTCAGTCTCCTTTCAATTCTTTTTCCATTGATATCAAAGTGAGGGTTATTGCCATCTCTCTTACTTTTACTTTTTATAAGTATTTCTTTATCATGCCTCAATGACACGAACAATAGATATAGCAACAAAACTAAAACTCTAGCCTCAGTTATTTCAATTAATATGAATAACTAAGTTCCTTCCCAAAATCTATTTCAAGGATATGATTATGTTGTAGAAACATTATTTTAATATGTTTCTTACTATTTCAGGAGCATTACTTATATTATTACAAATTAAAATAAAAAAATAAAAAATAGATTGTTAGACCTTCAGATATGAAGCCTAATGGTACATAAAATAAGATAAGATTCTTTTATTGATCCAAACAAATGGAAATGTTTTTAGATTGCATTGTACATTATCAGCACATAAAAAAAACAATTTGAACACAAGACATTTATAATAAATTATTTCACTAAAAAAAACCCAGCTATTTAGTGAATTCTCTTAGCCTTATAGTTCTTATTAAGATTTGTGACTTCAGGGGGAGCACGCTAGTAAATTCGTACAGATTGGGGAACAAAATAATTTTTATATCTTTCAGTCCTTGCCCTGACGGAAAGAATTCATCCCGAAAGGGCCAATCCTAAGTATCTGTGGTGAAGAGGGTGGGATGTATCATCCAAAATGTGCTTTAGATTGGTGCATCATAAAGATCGACTCTGGTTAATTTGCATATATAATACTTTTGTAACGAAAAGATAAGAGAGTTACTGTTCACGATTAAATGAATAAAACTCACTGCTGCTACTTACTTGGTGATTTCAATTAAATTAACCCATGCAAAAATACACCACAAAGCCCCCATGAACTGATCTATTGAATAACATATGAGTCCATCTGAGCCCATACAAACACCCCACTCATACATTAAGAAAGAAATCTGAAGCAACAACTTCTGGGGAAAATGCCCAAAGCCATAAAATTGTACCTGTGAAATGTGCAGATCATTCTCATTGATAAGTGGCGGCATCTCCTTCATGACGTCAGACAGCATGTTGGAAGTGACAGCACCACCTAATCAGATAAATTAAGGCAGACCTGGTTACACTAGAACTCCCTAAATAGTACAGCACAGACTCAAAATAGTACATAACCATATCAAAAATCGTAAAATACCTTATTTTAAAAGTAAATAAAACAACACACAGTACATAGCACATCAAATGAAGGTCCCTTCTCAAAGTAGATGACTGACGTTTATATAATTATGTACAGTGCACTGTTTAAACCAAAAAGGTGCTCATCATTAGCCACTTTGATATATGAAGATGTGGTGGGTGTGGAAATTGAGGATGTCCGCTTAATACACCTGACCAAAAGTGGGGGTTGGGAGGAGGCTGAGCCTCTTCCCAGAATTTTTTGTATAAATTTAAAATGCAGGGATGCACTTGTGTATACCTGAATCTAGTTTAGCATCATTCTAAACGTAATCATAATGCTTGTAGAAAATTAGGTTACCCTTACCTAGCTGTCTTTACATAAATACTTTTTAGTATTATTTATTTATTTTTAAATCGTAACAAACCACCAGAATATATTTTTTACCCCGGTCTCATAAAATCATAGTTATGACAAGTCTCAGCATACAATCGTAAAGGACATCTCAAAAGCATACATTGTATGCAAGAATCGTAAGAGTAAACAGGTCTGATGCAGTCATCAATTATTATCTGATTAAGAACAAGGTCGGTAAGTTTGGTTTTGTACACCAGACCAAACACACTAGTAGTAATGATGCATAATTAAAAATCATTAGACAGATAGAAATCATAATAGTAGGAATCAAACCATTACAACATAACTTGAATATTTTTTTTTTTTATGAGGTAATTTATTTTATTTCCTTTTTGTTCCTTGTTATTTTCACCACCCTCATTGCTATTACAAGTTAAATCTTTTTCATAAAATTAAATTGTTGTTCTAAAAAAATAATAAGTTGTTCTCAAATGTGAAACAGAAAATATATCATAACAGTGATGTTGAATGAAAATCTTAATAATTTTACCAACGGTTATTTTTTAAAATGTTTAGTTTAATGTATGTTTAAGCAAACTTATATTTACTTTACTTTTTTTTTGGGTAGAAGTTAAAAAAAAAAAAAAGGGCTACCTCACTGCATTTATTAAGGGATATATTTCCATTAAAAAAACTGCCTTACCGTAGTTCTTAACCACAACATCCAGGCACTGCAAAGTACTCAGCTTGAGAGCCCTCTGGTTCTTTCTCAGGAAAGATGCCAGGATAGGGAAGCCTTCCTCCTAGAGAAGATAATATTGTGTAAATATATTTCATTTTGAAAATCGGCTGCCTTTTTGTATACCATATTAAGTTTAAGTCGTGTCAAAGGATCAGCATTTTCAAGTAACTTCTACTTACCAAAATAAATCTGATATCAATATTTAAAGGTGATCTGAAGAAGAGAGAAAAACAAATTGGAAAATCATTGTTACATGTAGCATTTACTGAGCTATAAGGGTGAGCACTTACTGGGCAAGTACTGAACTATTAGGGAGAGCACTTACTGGGGTTTGGGGAGTGCATTTTTTGAGTTATTAGGGTAAGTGTAAGCACTTTTTGAGCTATTGGGGAGTGCACTTTTTGGGCTATAACAGTGAGCACTTACTGGGCTACTAGAGAGTGCACTTACTGGGATATTGGGGAGGGCAATTTTTGAGTTATTAGGGTGAGCTATAAGGGTAAGCACTTTTTGAGGTATGAGAATGAGCACTTACTGGGTTTTTAGGAAGTGTACATTTTGAGTTATTAAGGCCAGTCAAGCACTTTTGGAGCTATAACAGTGAGCACTTACTGGGCTATTGGTGAGTGTGCTTTTTGAGTTATTAGTTACTGAGCTATAATGGTAAGCACTTTTTGAGCTTTAACTGTGAGCACTTACTGAGCTATAATGGTAAGCACTTTTTGAGCTGTAACAGTGAGCCCTTACTGAGCTATAAGGGTGAGCACTTTTTGAGCTATAACAATGAACACTTACTGAGCTATAAGGGTGAGCACTTTTTGAGCTATAACAGTGAGCACTTACTGAGCTATTAGGGTGAGCGCTTTGACTGTGGTCAGTCGGGTTATTTCATTCTTCAACCTCTCCAGAAAAATGGGAAGACACTCCTTCAACTCAGCCTGCAGGCAGTCTCCCAAGTTGGCCACTATCTGACCCCTGCAGAAGTAAGTGCTTCAACTTTACATTGGCTCATGGAGATGTGACTTTTATAAAAAAAAACCTTCATTAAAATATTAATTTTGAACACTACTTCTAGTTACAAAAATTAAAATCTGAGCTATCCTTGATAGCATGAAAATCAATGTAATTTGAACTGAGATAGCATAGCTACTATTTAGGAAACTAGGAAACAAATCAGTAAAATGTGTTAAAGTAGTTACAAACAGATTTCTTGTGACCCACGGAAACTCACATGCAAGCTATTGCCCTCTCCTTGACCTCCTGATCAATGTCAGCAGCCTTGAGACGTTTGACGGTGCAGGCATACAGACTCTTCACATATGGCTTGTAATCAAAATTTGATTTTTGTTCTGAAATGATGTGGCATGTCAGATATGTAGAGCTGCCTGTGCAGTGAGGCTTACAAATAAATTAAATAAATTTAACTGGCAATTAGAATGAAATAAATGAGCCTTTGACAGAGCACGCTGAAGCATTCATGGATTGGGGAGGGGGGAAGGGGGTTGTGCTACACCTAATTATCTCAATATTAACAGTTGAAAAAAAATTCAAAAAATTTAAATGAATTAGTATTTCTCTGTGAGTCTTGACAATGAACTTCACATTCATGGATTTCACATTTTCTCATTTTAGTTTAATATATTGACTGACATGAAATATGAACCGAATAAATAAAATTTTGAGTGATCAAACTTTGGGTCATTCATTAACTGTGGCTTGGGAACCACTATGACCACCCACATTAATTTTACATTCTCAATTACTCAATGGACTTTATGAGAATCATATTAATGCACCTACTGGCTGGCTTGAGTTCTTAACCTAAAAGATTGTGGTATAGGGGTCCTTGACCAGCATAGCAGGTGACTATTTCTGATCCTGACTGTACCCTCAGAAGCCAAAGGTGGTAATTTCTATCATACCTAAAGGTCTGAGGACTTTAACTAGCTGCTGTGTGACTAGCAGGGCTTCCGAGGTTATCTTGTAGAAAGGATCTCCTACAGCATTCACAATAGGCTGAGAGTGGATAAAAAATATGTTATTTTAAATTACCTAAAACCTAGAAGCATTCTTTGCAATACAGATCTAGAGTTATTAACAACAACAACAAAAAAAAAAGACTCATGTACCGGTATATTGGAAACTGCATACATTTTCTAACCATATATTTACAATTGCTTCTTCTATGTAATGTAACACAGCCAATAATTTGAAATCTTTTACAATCATGGAGATCAAAAACTTGAAAAAAAAAAAAGCATCTATTCTTTTACACATTTTTTAACTACTAAAAAAACTACCTCTTTTGAGACAGCTTTAAGGGTTTCCGGCAACTTTTCCACTACTGATAACTGTAGATAAAATTAACCTGTTATCTGCCCTAACACTTACTGGGACTAAAGCCTTGATGTGTGGATGAAACACCAGGTGGCTGTGATTGCCTAGCAATGTATTGAGAAAAGACAATGTGTCAATTTTCATGTTGGAACTGGAGTTCTTGTCTCCCAGAGAGTACTGTATCCCTGGCATGAGGCTGGTCAGGTGCTGGTCAAGGGCCCCAGGCAACACGAGGACCAACTCGGTCAGTAGGCTGAAGCAGCCCTGTCTGGTCTTGATGCTTTTCTCTTTAAGTTGACGATGGACTGCCTTGACAATGTCAGATATCTGTGCCTGCAGCATGTTCAGGGGTCTGAATGAGGAGGATGCATATTCATTAATTTCATGAAGACAAACTAACAAAGACAGGAAAATTTGACAATATGTCATAAAAAGGTCCTAGTTACTCAGATTTTAACTTAACTGTTTGATTTTTTTCAAAACAAAAATGAAATTACAGATGGGTTTCTGATTCCATGATTAAAAAACTTAATTTAAAAATTATTTTGTGTTTTTTTAGAGTGTGACAAATACCATGATTCAACTCCCACTAATTGGTATAACATAGATAGGATTCTCCATGTATTAAAATGTTCTAATGCAAAACCTTGGATACCCACCATTTCAGCTGTACAGAGCTGAAAACTATGACAACCTTTCCTTGTTGACCCAAGCACTTGAACTTACCCCTCTTCCTCTTCAATGTTCTCCACACCTGCAACAGTAACTGGCCTAGTTTGTTTCAAAAGAGCTATGTAAGCATGGAATATATCAGACTTGACATTCTCCTCTCGCTCTGAAACAAAAGAATTGCTTGAATAAAATGAAGTGAAACGTGATGTCTCTTTCCTAAGTAACAAAAATGCATTTCTCTTCACTCAAAATATGTTTTAAAAAATAGCAAGTCTATTTTTAAGTAAAAAAAATAATGAATCAAAATATGTGCAGTTTACACTTAGTTTAAGATTACTTTTTTAACATATGGCCAATATTTATCTAATTCTAAGATACCGTACAATTTCCCATAAATAAATGTCAACAAAATATATTCCATTATGGAGCTTACCTTTAAACCTGGCAATAAGAGCAGGGGAAACAGTTTTGTAAAACTCTGGTAACATGTCATGGCGTGTGCTGACAACAGCTTCCAGACATTTGGCTGCGGATCTCCTGACTTTCCAGCTCATGTCATCATCATCACTATATTCGTCTTCTGTTTCTCTTGAGATAATTCAAATCAAAAGAGACATTTAGACATTGGAAAACCTAAAGCAGCAATATAATAGCAATAATTTTGTTCCCCCTAAAGATTTCATCTTTAATTTATTGTGCTGTTATAGTAAAACAACAATTTTCATTGGTTTACAGTATAATTCTTCTTTACAGTGAATTTTAAAATGAATCAACTATTGCTTTGAAGAAGAAAATCCAGATGTTGCAAGATAGAATCCTATTCTATTTACCAAACAATTTTAGTAGTAAGAAATTAAGTGATCAAAATGTTTTAAACCTACTCATCATCATCCTCTTCTTGCATATCTGTGTCCATCTCCTCGTCATCATCATCGTCGTAGTTGTAGTTCGGGTCATGACAGACATACTTGAGACAGATGGCAATGATCTGAAGTAATAAAATAATGAGATTTATCCTTCCATTCATCATCGACATTACCAGTATTATTCAGTAATGAATCAGTCCGTCCCCCCAACTAACCACACACTTTCAGCAGCTAACCTATTTAACAAAAAATCAACCACCATAAACAAACAAATATTGCCCTTCCCCAACCACCACCCAAATGTGCTTGCAAATATGTTTCTGATTTTGTATTAGGAAATGTAATAGCTCCAAGGGGATGGTATGATCACTGTTTAAATCATATATGCATGTAATATATTTATACAGCTTATTTTACATACTATTTACACTGGGCTAACAACAATAATAAATCTTATAGCTCTATTGCTCAAATCAAATTTTAAAGTTTAAGAGCGGGGGACACTCACATCAGGAATGAAATTTGAGACCTCCTTGGGACAACGTCTGACAAACGACTCAAATGCCTGGAGGCAGAACTCTGTCAGCTCATCATCATCAGTCTTGCAAAACTTGACAATAAGAGGAACCATTTTGTCAAGATACTCTCCGAACCGACCACCTGCTTGACGACTGTGAGTAGAGGGAAAACATTGCACTGTATTTTACTGTGATTGACATACACATTTTATTATTCTGGATAATGTCAAAAAAATTCTTGATCCTGAACACCAAGAATCCCATTCTCCTCAAGTTTTAAGAAATGCAATGAACAGACATGTTAGTTAGTCTTTAAGATTAATCAAGTTTTAATAAATGTAAAGAACAATCATATGAGAACTTTTTTTAGCAAAGTTTAAAGAAATAAAGGGCATTCAGTCTTCTATGACATAATAATCCAACACCTTCGTGTCTCTCACCTGATGGCCCCAACACACTGGATGTAGGTGCGGGTAGTGGAGGTTGAGGCATTCTTTGTGAGTTCTGTCAACAGGTACTCGATGAGTTCATGGAATAGGGATGTGCTGCAACTCATGACCAAGTGGCCTAGAAGGAAAGATTTTTACAATTCCTAAAGGCATTGTGTTATGTAGACAGCGCATTTACGCCATCTTTTCCCGTGAATGAACTTAAGCTGACCCCAAGTCTCAACAGCTCGTTTGGGTGTGGCTAATTAAAAATAGTCTCCCTTGACCTAGTTTATAACCAAATAAAATCTATGGCCTGTATTATTAGAATTTGTAGAAAAATTGAGACAAATCAAGAAAGAAATACAGTGTGTAAGCCCGTTCTATAAATATCTCTGAAACAGGCAATATACATACGCCTAGAGAGATTGAGCGACAGGAAGAAAGAGAGAGATATTTTTGCTATCACTATAATGAAAGAGATTTGCTATATGAGACAAAGAATTGTTTACTAAAATTTGCTGTGTGTGTGTAGATTCCTTTGTTCATCATTTTACCTTTTGCAACATTTTATCTTCTTCAACATTGTACTGGTACAAGCCAATCATTATACTGCTTTAATTTTATTTATTTTTTATTTTTTAATCTATTATTAACTTAATAAAATTATTAATTGTAATTAGCCCTAGCCTGGGTATCGTTTTCTTTCTTATTGTATTTAATTTATGGTATCGTCTTTTGTTGTGTACTGTTTAAGAAAGAGCCATATACTTAAATAAGAGATTAATTTCTCCAGACAGATAACAGTACGTAACACAGTGGAATACTGATGATTAGTTAGTTATCCTTAAGTTTTTCTGATAGAATTTTCCCTGATGCATTGAAAAAAACAAAAAAGCCCAGTATTTTTTGCTTTCTGTAGCTCCCAATGCATTTCCTGAATGTCCCACAGAGGGAAAGTGGACTGTGTTGTGGATTTTGGGTTGCCGGCCGGGGTTTGAATTTAACACTGTCAATATATTGGACAATTTCTTTGCTTAATTATTTGATCTCTTTTTAAATAACGGGAATATAAATAATCACAAACGAGAATTTTTCATTTCTTAAAGATGAACACAAAAAACATAACTTCATTAGAAATAAAACAGCAAATAACCAAGCTCGGACTTTTAGCACCAAGAACTTTGTTGTAACATTTAAAAAGCATAGAGTTTAAAACCATTTAAAAACCCAATGTGATAGGTGAATCCCTTTTATGTAGATACCAAACATAAATAGGAGTAAAATGTAGAGTTAAGATTCTCTGAAGGTTACTATGGAACATTATAAAAGACTGACCCTCTTCCTTCTAAATGGATGAAGATGTAAAGAGTATATCAAATCAAAATGTGTCTAATTGAGAAAATGTATGAAATAAATAAAGGTTACCTTACCTATAGCAATTATGGCCCTCTTTCTGACTGCCAACCTTGGACTAGCCAGTTGAGGGAGGAGAGCTTGTTTTATGGTAATGTGAAAACTGATGAGCAGACCTGTAATAGCAATATACTAGGTTAATTTTTGAACTGGGCAATTGGGTTTCATAAATCATGACATTATTTTAACTAGATTAATGTACAAGGAATTTAGATGTGTGAGAAATTTATACAATGCAATTTCTTGCTGAAATAAGTTAAATTTAGTAGAACCTACCCATGAACACTTGTTTCAAGTGAAAAATTCATAACACAATCTCAACAATACTAATACATTATTACTGTTCGTCCTTTGAATGCAAAGATGACAAAGGCTTTGACTTGAGTAGTAGCCTTGACTTGTTGGGTGACTGGGTGGTCGAATGGTCTAAACTGAGCAAACCTCTAGTTGGTGGTCTGGTGTTAAAGTCCAGCCAAAGGCCAGTGAATCAAAAAACATCACCCCGGGTGGATGAGACTCGTTATCCTTGGTCGGTAACTCATCTAAGAGAAGGAAACTCTGAATTCAAAACCCGGAGCTGGAGTCCCGTAAGTGTCAAACAATGACAATTCCTGCAACCGAACCCATCCCTGGTCGTCTTGACGTACAGTCCTGCCACTGGATATAGTGGGCTCGGACGAGAGAGTGAGGTAGACGCCGCGCAACTCTTACCTCACTTTAAACAAAGTCACCCGCGCAAGTCATCAGTCACCAGACGACTCGATGGTCCTCGTCGACCCTCGACGGACGAACAATAAATAGCCTTGACTTGTATTTTGTTTAAAGTGAGGGAGATTTGCTCAATTCATCAGCCTCACTCTCTTGTCCTTTCCCATTTCTTCCAAATGGCAAGACTTAGTCAAGACGACTGGAGACAGACAAGGATCAGTGTTTCTTGTGTCTCACTGTGCTCTTATGTGTTCCACATTGCAGCAGTTGTCGGAATTTTCATTGTGGACTCCATCTCCAGGTTTAATGTTAGAGTTTGCCTTCTCTTAGATGAGTTGCCATCAAAGGTTAACGAGTCCCATCCACCAGTTACTAATAAATTGATAAAAAAAATTAATTCTCATAAAAAAATAAAACTATTGTATAACATAAACACACCACCAAATCGGCTGAGTAAATCTCCAAGAATGTCCAAAGCTTCTAGTTGCACAGATACATCTTCTTGCTAGAAAAAACAAATTAAAAAGTTAAAATATAGACAGGTTTTTAAAATCTATACAAAACACATCAGACAAAAATCAGTGACAGCTTCTTGATATTATTATATCAGATTGAGAACTTCCCTAATTTTTCTGATGTTAAAAAAAAAGGGGGAGCAAAAATAAACAACATTAATAGATTAGATTATAAAATACATCAGGGGTTCTTTAACTATTTTGTTCCATGGACCTTTTGCCAATCAGATGAAAGGGACAGGCCCCTTCTTAGAATTAAGCATTTAAATGCATAAACTTACTAAAGAAATGTATCTTAGGCATCCCATAATTTTCATGGATCCCAAGGCTTCAGTGGACCACAAGTTAAGAACCTCTGATGTTAATATTTTAATTATTTAAAAAGTTTTGATTGAAATAAGTTATGTTGACATCTTCATAGAGAAGGAATTGTTATCAATTAACTGAGTAAATTTTAGATAATCTGATTTTTTAAGGTATACAACAGTTCATTTTATTAGACATTAAATTCATATTTCATAAAATGTAACACTCATAAGCTTGTCACATAACGAAAAGAGATAAAACTAACCTTCGAGATAGCATTTGTAAGGCGTGTGGTTATTTTCTTACAAATACTGGCTGCCAAAGTTGTTGAAGAAGGGGGCAACTCAGTAATAACTGTTTTTAAGCCTTAGAAAAAAAATGATAACAAAAAAAATAATTACTAAGCAATTACATGCACTTGAAAGTGAAGAGTGAAACACCAATATCTTGTATGATCTTAAAAAGTAACTTTTCTAGCTCATCTATGAACACCATTTATTTACTCATTTGAATTCTAAAAAACTAAGGCTATTAAAATAAACCTACCAATACTTGAGATATCTCTTAGCTGTTCTTTATCAGACAACATGTTACTACATAATGTGTCCACAATTGTCTCCACTTGAAACTCTTTGACTTTGCTTACCAGTGGGCCAAGGCTAGGAAGATGAAAATTTACTATTAATGGTTTATCACCCTGTCAAATAAAAATACTTTTTATTATGTGACTGGAATGATGCTAATCTATAACTTTAATTTGAGCAAACTTCTGTATGCTACAATCAACATTTTAAATATTTGTTGTGGGGCAGTCATTAAAACACATATTTGTTAAACAAGCAACAACTAAGTTTAACCTACCATTTCACAGCTAAATTCTGAACTTCACCATTTTTGTCCTCCAGTAGCTTTAGCAACATTTTGACCACCTGTTAAAAATTTGAAATGTCACATATTTCATTAAGAAATAACTGAAATTATTTGACTGAAGAGAACATTTCATCCTAAAAAAATACTGACCTAAAAAAAAACTGAAACGATTTATTACAAGTTCTAAAGAGACTAATTAAATTGAGCTGAACACTTGGAAAAATTAGGATTCATTTTTTATTTTGAAGCAGGATAAGAAGATCTAATGAGACATCCATATGGTTATGTTTGAGTAAAACAAATATATGGGATAATTTATATAAACCCTATGTAATGATATTCTATAAAAACCCTTTGTAATGATATTCTATAAAACTTGATGATATTCTATAAAACTTGTATTGCTGTGAAAATATTTATGTCATTATATAGTGATAGCAGTAACCTTTCTTTCACTATCATCATCAAGTTTAATTGAATCTTTCTGTAGCTCAGCCATCAAATCATTGGTTGCCATAAAACGGAAATCTTTATCCGTAGAAGTCATCTGAAAGACAAAATTAGCAACACCTAAACACAAGATAAATAGTATGACTAAAAAGTTATTTTTCAAATAAGTCACGATTTAGTAATGAGGACTATGAAAAAAATGATGATGTTGGATGTCTCACACTCGTCAATATCTGTGAGTCTAAATCACTACTTATGACTATAACTAAATAAATCTCCTGACTAAATAGGGATACTTCTTGAGTTTTCAACTGTGCTCTGTTTTTTTGTTATATTTTCATTTCTACAGTTGGCTGAGGAAGGCTTTATGCCGAAACGTCCTTGTTTTTTGTCCAGTTATCTTATTCAAGCTTGCACATACCTTGTTTTGCTATTTTATTCTTCATCTAAATATGATTATAGTCAATAGCTAAAATTCAACCTAATAATTTAAATAATGTGCTGGGCAGGAATTTGACAGAAAGCAGAGATTTTAGACATGACTCAGACGTCTTGAGTTTGCTAAGCCAGAGCCAGAGCACAGTTCCTTGGGTCAGTGGAAAAGTAAATGTAGGCTGAGTAGCCTAGTGTAACTGAGATGCCCATACATGATACTATACTCAGTCAGTAGAGTGTTACTTGCATTTTTAAAAATTCCTTGTGCAATATAGTCTGCTGTGTTTTGGATTATGCACACTGCTTGAAGATTTAATCATCATAATATCAAGGTGGAAGTCGCCAATGTTACCAAGCTCACTGCTCAGTCTGCAAGTGTTGCCGCAAATGTCTGTCAGTAGTGTCAGTGTTGTGTCGGAATAGCCGTAGAAAAACTAAAGTGAGATCTGCTGCCGGTCTCATCTTAAAGTTATAATAAACTTAGTCTTCATCATTATTTAAAATGGTTAGTAAATAAATATACCTTCTCCAATAAATTTGCAATATGGTACGACACACTGGCCATTTTGTGTCGATTTACTTTCTTCACTGATGAAGAAAACCATAAACAACAATGAATTCCAGAAGCGAAACTTATCAGCTCGTTTCAAAACAGGAAGTTCAGTAATGCTTTTATTTTTGTACGAGCATGCGCAAGGCTCTCATATTGTGAACTTGTATCGTTGTTTTATGCTGAACTATTTCAATTTTTGTTTTTTCCATCTTGAAAAAAATATTTAAAACAAAAACCCTCTAAACCACTTTTAAAAAAAATCTGACATATTTTTTTGGCATTGATGCTGGGAGAACCTTCTCACGCTCCTTTGTATATTAGAAGTACTCTGCCCTTAGGCCTTGCGTTGGTGTCATCCATCATAGTATTCATAGTGCAGGCCTGCACAACTCAAAATGTAAGGTTGGGCCGAAATACTTCATTATAAAGTTTATGAACAACTTGAGCGGGCCGTAATACTTTATGAAAAGCTTGTGCGTTGCCGAAAGATAATAGGACAGTGGGGAAAGGGGGGGGAGCTATTAAGAAATTAATAACAATATAAAGAATATTTCGTTACTTCGCGGATGTTGTGCAGGCGTGTCATAGTGTCATCCCCACTGCCCTTACAGGCCTCCCCGTGGACCTCCTCCGAGTCTGCCTGCTCTAAATACTCTAATGACTAATCACCTGATCTGATGCAACCTGCTCTGGTGACACTCTGCCCTTGTATTTAGCCGAGTTGTGCTATGAAACAGACAGTAGCAAATTCTGTGAAATATATAATGTTTCCAATATTTACTGTCACCCACTTAAGAGGGTGTCAGTCACCCAGTGCGCCCCCCCCCCACCTTTTGTTGAGGTTTATCTGTTTGTTCAGTTAATTACTTATTTGACCGAATGCCTATTACTATTCTGTTTTATTTAACTACAGTTTAGCAAACGACATAGAGCATAAGCTTAGATCTACTCATTATACTTTAAACAAATAATATTCAAATAATAAAATAAATGACTAATAATTACTTTATCACTAGATGTGAAAATTAGGAGGTAATTTTACACTTAAAACTTCTGCTTCTGAGTGGTAGGCTATTTACTCTGGTTTGATTTAATAGTATTGATTTTTTATTTGGAAAAAGGTTGCCCACCTTGGTCTAGAGTCTAGGAATGATTATTCAAAAGTGATCCGTTTCACAACGTTCAAACGTCAAGTAAATTAACGCTCAACACTATGTTCTCATGTCATGAGCAAATCTATCTTAAAGACGTTAATTTTTGTGCGCTTATAAAATCCTACACTAAACGTTCGTGACCGACATAGCAAAATCATGATATTTTTTTATTTTATTTGTATAACTCATGAAAGGAAAAACACGAACGTGGATCTCCGGATCCAGGCTTTTCCCATGCCCCGAAATGCGTTCATCCTCTGGAACACATCTATTATCTATCAAAAAAATGTCACAAATCCTTTATAATAACCGACATCTTATCACTTATGACACACAATATCCAATTACTACAAGGAAAGTGTTTGGGATGTGAAAAGGTTTAATGAAATAGCGCCCTTTTTTTTTTTTTCCGTGGGGTCGGGGGGAATAGGGATTTTTCGGGAATTCACCGAGACAACTTACACATCATTAGTTTGAATATAGATGTAACACAGTCCAATATAAACAATCATTCTTCCCACTCACAATAATCGCTTGGAACCACCTAGACAAAGCCGCTGTAGACTTTAACATTAATCGAGAGTTTCAAGGCTGCCCTTGCATCCGCTAGGAGACGTTAGGATCGCAGCATTGCTTCCCCAACCATTGCACATATACCAGTAGGCCTCCATGGATTCGACCTCGTTCCCTACCAGAACCAGAGGATGCACCATGGTGCGACCCCTGCGCGGGATGTACGTCGCTGCCACTGAATGCCCATTCAGACTTGTGTCTGCTCTTACAAAAGGGATATGGCCCTGGATATCGATTTTCCCAGACTGCTCTCAAAGATTCGTATGTTGCCCCCTTGAAGCCCCGTGAGAGTAAATACCACCGAAGGTGCCGCCTCTGCTAGCGTTTAAATTTAAAGGGCATTCGATTTACTTTGAAAAAAATATTGTGGTGCCTTATTTTAATTTTCCCCCTGCCAGATGAGGTACCCAGTAGCCTATATTTTTTGTTTCCTGCCTGATCCATTGAGCCAGCTGTTGGCTCTATGGTCTACGGTCTATAATCCCACAAAGTCATACGTTTTGTACAATTGAAACTGTCAAAACCATATTCGGACATTATGTTAAGCCTAATTTAAATGTTTTAATATTTTATTTATTTCCAAATATAGACTCAAGACAAGAATATATTTAAAAAAGATAAAAAAATAAATATATTACTACACTGCCGGGCCCGGCATTCACTTTCTCTGCTAAAATTAAAATAAACAGGCAAAATGTGCTCCAAGCTAAGATGGATGTCTTGTTCTTGCTATATATATATAGTCTAATATACACATAATATACCATATAGAAAAGGAAGTTTTTGTTGATTTCATCAGACACCTAGTTGCCGTCCCACGACTTTTCGAGGCCCCCTGCACAATACAATTTCGTGCCATAATCAGCCTTTTTAAGAACACTATTCTATAGAAGTAGAATCGATCCGAGATATGCATTTTTTCTTTCATAACCCTAAAATTTTTGCCAGTGATTGGTGATCTCATTTAAAAAAAATAAAAAAATCTAATGTCATGTAGAGGCAAATATGTCAAAAAAATTATAGAAGTATTTAAAAAGGCATCATTTGAAATGTTGATTTTTGTTTGTTGTTAGACAAAGATCTCTTGAGCTCAATTAATTACTCAATTCATATTGTTAGAAGGTCTCTTTAATTATCTTTAAGAAACCGCTATTTAAATAAATAGACATAAATACATGGATTATTGGATATTAAAAAGAAAAGTTAAAAAAAATTTAAATCATTTTTTATTTGTCAAATAAATATGAACATTAAAAAAAATTAGTAACCATTTAAAATACAGTGCATGAAAGCATTCTTCATGCCAATGGCATCATGTTGCACAAGTAAAGAAGATACTAAGCTGTGACACAACTTGCTGGGGATAATTTGTAATAAACAAAACATTTACATTTTCACAAAAATATTTATTTGACCAGCAACCCAATTTTATTTATTTAACTTTAAGTCATATTTAAATGAACAGTTGCACTACTACTTTGTTCACTAATTAGTGAAACAGTTGCACTACTGTTATCTAATTAACAAAGCAGTTCCACTTCTGTTCACTGACACCCTAGACACAGACATAAAACTGCCGTGGGTGGAGAGTGTCTTCAGTTTTCACTATGGCCCTGGCTTGGGATGATAATGATGAACAAAACAGTTGAGCTTTCAAAAAATCAAAAAAAAATCCTAAAATAAAAAATTTATCAGTTGGATTAGCACAACTGGGAAAAAAAATACATGTAAATAAATCACTTAAGTCTTAACAATCACTCGCCTACACAAAAACCAAAGTTTCCAATAAATACAAAATGGCATCTAAAATTTTCACCCAGTTATAAGCAGTTCAAACTTAGAAATTTACAGAATAATGTGAGTCTTGATTAGGGAGACCAAACATCCCGTAAAAATGGGATTGTTCCATTTTTTAGCGATTGTACCTGGTGTCCCGAAAAAGTCTCTTGGGATGCCTAAATGTCCCGTTTCTAAAAACAAGCACATTTCCAAATCACTAAAACTTTCTTATTTGTACTATAACTTCAAGTAATATTTTGGCTATCTGTGTAGCCAGTGCCAGTAGTGCAGTGGGCAGCCGTGATGGCTGCACCGTTCCCCCTCCACCACGCTACCGACGCTGGGTAAACGACAGTGTCCCTGCCATAGATCTTATATGTGTAAATAAATAAGTATTCACTGCAAAATTATTGTTTTCATTTATGATATGCCCCAGAGTTTAAATTAAATTACAAAAGTGGAGGTGAATTTTAAAAGATTTCTAGGTCTCAAAATAGTTAAAATTAGCATATTTCAATTAATAGTTTCCGGCGGAGGCCCCAAGACCCCTATTTAACTGGAGGGCATCCCCATCCCCCCCAATCCTCCTTGGTTGTGTCCAATTTTTTCCAGTTCATGATTTGGTCACCCTAGTCTAGATTCACATATTTATAGCTATTCATAACGAGATATTTATAGCCAACTGTGGCTAATGTGCATTTTCCCACCGCTTCCAAATAAAAAAATCTCCTGCAGCAGTGCAGATGGATGGGGTAACTTTATGAGCCAGTCTAATGGTGCCTCACAATCAGAAGACAAAAATGTTCACCCATTATAAAAGACAAGAAAAGAGTGGAACATAATAAAGAAGGCTGATTTCCAGAGAGAGTTTCTACTTTCTTACAGCTAATCCGAAAATAAAAAATAAAAAGAAAGAACCAAGATTTCATAATCACCTTCAAAGTTTTTGTTGGGAAACATCTTTGAGATATAGATCATGCACATAAGAAACAAAAGGATAATAACTATGCCAACACCAGGATTCAAGATGGGAATGTAGTTCCAGAATTTTTGCATTTGCAGCTTGTTAAACATAGACTTGTTTTTAGCAGGTAACACAATATAAAATTTAATGACTTTGATAGCAATATAAATAACACAGAAGACACATCTTTTAAAATAAAAAAAATATATCCATATGATTATCAAAACAAAATCTAGCAATTATATTTTTTAACACAATTCTATATAGTGAAATATGTAAAAGTATGAAAAATAAAAATAATTTTTACAATTTCAAAGAAACATTTATTGGTTTACACAAGTGATGTTTAACATGACCAACAAATGTTCAATTATGTTTGGCTTTGAATAATGCAGGAGACTTTTTTAAACATGCTTGTTCAGGCAGTGGAAGTCCAGAAAAAAAGGTTCCCCATTTTATATGCTTGGGGGTTCCAGATGTTAGCTTCATATGAATAACAGGATGCATCAGTACTTTCTTTAAAAATATATCCCATTTATTTAATTTTAGGAACACTTGCTTAAATGTCTCCTCATCAATATAACTACTGGACATGGGTATTAGAATAACACCCAGCTTAACAAACAGGGCGTAAAAGACCAAATCATAGTCATAGACATTTTTTATTGCTATACCAGTGTTTTGAGATATTCACAAATTTATAAAATGAATTTTCCATGTGAGGCACTCATGGGCCATGATTTAATGAGGTCATACAACACTAACAGACTGTGCAGACTGTAATTCTAGACTTATCTTTAAATACAAATCAAATGTTTATATACTGCTGCTGTTGTGGTTGAGTCAGGGTGGTCAAGTTCCAGTTCAAGCCTCTGCTACACAAAACCAGACACTACAGGTGGAAGGGTCTTGCCAACCTCTAATGGTGCTCATCCAAGACATCAGACCTCTGCTGCCTTTCGTTCAATGTTATAGGAGTGAAATCTCACAAAACATTTAGGAGACATTCCGGTATGCAGATTGACGCTGGAAACAATATTAAATTCGGCCAACTCTAACAGCTACCCTGGTGCCAAATTTCATCATTCATTTGGGTTCAAGGCCAAGGGTCATCTGTTCACTGATTTATCTTCATTAACAGATCTTGTAAAGATCTCAGGGTTCCACCACATCCATCAAAACCTGTATAATCGTCTCTAGGCCACAGTGTAATTGTGAGATGTGCTGGACGGTGGACTGATGCTGGATGACCCTGTATCACATAAACAGAGGGAGCAACACTTAATTGACCAATGCAAACAACAGGGTCATCAAAATTGATGCAGCTAGTCCAATGACTTGAACCTAGTGGTAATTAAAATATCAATAAATTAGTTTCCTCCATATCTGTTGCAATTTTTGCTATTGTAATTATTATAAATAACATTAACTGTCAATAACATGAAAAAAGAAGGGTTTGTGTTGATGGGTGTTTTGTGGATGCATGTTTAAATTAGTCACTGACATAAATAAGAAAAAAAAAAAAAAAGAAAAGCAAATTCTTTGATGGGATTCCAGTGAGAATTGATGAATATTTTAATTTTTACTCACACATTTTTCAAACCAAGTTCTGTAACTATGCAATTGATAATCCAGTTTTCTAATCTAGCTGTGCAGTACTCAGTTGCTGAACTTGTTGGGCAGTCCATTTTTCTCCACTAGCTGCTGCTTTATTTCCATTTTCTAGCTGAGCACTTTGTATTAGACTTGCTCCAGGTGGTACTACAGTTTCTTGACTAGATTTTCTCCATTGTTTGAGGCGTTCACCACTCTTTGCTCTGATGGCTTCATCTTGATCATCCATGTGCTGTAAATTTAAAAACGAAATGTTTAAGAAATTAAAACAATACAGCTATCCTGATTCTATTTCTGCTTTAATCTTCACCAAAACACCCCACCCCCACAACAAACAAATTAAGAGTGCTTACAATCTGTTTGTCTATTAATTTTTTTGTAAATATTAAAAAAAGTGGGGGGTTGGATGGGGGGGGGGGAATTTATTCGGTTTACAATTTAAAATAATAGGATTATTTTGACATTAGGTAAAACACTTGAAATTTAATTCCTTTCCATTCAAACAAAGCAAATAATGAGAGTGAATTTCGACAATGAGGAAGATAATATGGATCAGCTGTCAAGGTCAAGTATAGAATAATACAAGCCCTAAGGGGAACTGTTTGTTCGTTTCTGTGAGCCACAGATGTTGTGGGCATAATGTGCTATGAAGGGCACATCATACAAAAACCAAAGTGTTACAATGCATGGATATCTCCTAAGAGAAATCAACGAAGACCTGGAGGAGACATTTCAAAGGGACACCTGATTTTTAAAAATTAAATACCTGTGTTTTTGATGCATTCTGCTCTTCAGCCTGCATACAAAGTGGCATGTGAGAGGCCCAATGCCTCTGTTGACACTCATAGCTGCAATAACTTGTGTTCCAACAGCAAAAGTACAGAGCTTCTTTTAAACACTCTGCACACTTGGGAAATAAATACAAGTTAAGATAACTGTATATTAATATTACAGACAGGAAAAGAAAAACCAATGTCATCATTTATTAAGTATCTCCTTTCAAATTTTTTTACCCCCAAAGAAAGGAAAGTTTACTGACTATGACAAAAATAGATTTTCAAAAATAATTATATTTAAGTGGATATTTTCTGCAAAGAACTAGTACTCAGTATACAAAAAAAAGGACCTTAAATGGTCTAATAAATATGACTATGGATGTTAGTTTCACTCAAAGGATAAACTTAAATAACTTAATTAGTAGATCCTCAACACTGCCCTGCCAAAGGATAAAAGATACTGTGTCCTCCATGCTGTTAATCATTTTCAAGCTTAATACTTTTTGTCATATTAGATATATTAAAACAAAGTGTCTATTCGCAACCAGATATCACAAGTGAGAGGTTGGGATTAAAATAAATAGCGGTTATGCTTACCTGGGTCCCTTTAGACTAAATCCCATTCGTTGTGGTAGTTTATTTTAGTTAAACTGAAAAAGTAAGTTTACAAACATATAGTCATTCAATTATCTTTCATTTGATGCCTCATTTTTGTCTTACAAACCCAACAACAATATTTTAAATAGTTTTTTAATCACAACCTCTCACTTCTGATACCTGGGTGCGAATAGTTGCAACCATATTAAAAATTAAAAGACAGGCCTAAAAAAACTAGTTAAAAATTATAATGTAGCAACAAAAGACCCTCTCACCCATTGTTGTTTCTTTGTTTCTGTGACCACTTTCTCCATTTCTTTGTTAAACTCATCTTTCAACTGTGCAGCTAAAATGCTCTTCTGGAGCTCAAAACTGGCCAGGGTCTCTTCAAGTGTTATTTCTGTTGAATTTAAATACACCCATGTGCAATTAGGTCAGTTGCAACAATTTTGGTAGCTATGCTATATAAGATATTGCCTTTTCCCAATTTCAAAATAAAATGTGTTGTTTAAAGAAAGCTTGTTAAAAATAACCTGGTCAAATTTTGTATTGAGAAAGCTAAATTTTCAAATGCGACTGATATACCCTAAATATATTTTATATTTAAGTATATTGTCTTAACTGAACAATAGTAAAACCATTCAAATATATAACGTAATTATTATCAAGCCCACTTTTTCAACTACTTTTACTTTATTTTTTTTCAGTGGGTTATTAGTAATAGAAACATTTATTCCCGTCCTGCGCAAGCGGGTGGGTCTCCAAGGAAACCTGGGGCGTCCACATGGAGTTTGCCTTTTCGGGGCGTGGCGGACTATTAGGGAGGTACTGTTTTTCCGCAGCAAAAAACCCCGGCCGGCCGCATGACTCCCAACGCCATGGGAGTAGTAACGCCGTAACATGAATACTTGTTGCAGTTGATGGATATGAGGCTTGGGTGGCTGTTAAAACCCATGCCGATGATTTTAGCTACGCGGCCGTGAGAACGCCGCTCCTAGGCAACCGTTTCGTCCTAGCTTTCCGTCCCGACCAAAAGACTTCCTGGGCGGTGGTAACACAGCATTTTCGGTCGACCGGGCATCCCCCAGGCCAGGGAGAAGTTAACGGCGTGACGTCGCACGGTCTGGTGGCGGGGAGACCTGGGGCCTGGCCCGTGTGGAGGTGTGCTGGGGGGGGGGCGCATTTATAGCTCGTATAGTTACGTAACTATTAATATGTACATTGATTGATTGAAATGATATGGCACAGAACATCACCTCTGACATTTCTGTATTAAATGTACACAACTTACTGGCACTTTTGGACAAATCTTCCAGCTTCTTCTCATACATGTCCTTCTGCTTCTCATACATGTCCTTCTGCTTCTCCAGTTCTACATTTGTTGCAGAACATCTGGTGGGCTTAGGATATGTTTTCTATAAATAGCAATCAAACAAAAAACTGTTAATGTTTAATGTTCATGTTGTTCAGAAAAAAATATTTTTCATACATTTATCTTTAACATGTTCAAAAGCTTAACTTAAAAAACTTTTGGGGTGATTAACATGATGGTTAAGACACAGAAATATTTTAATAATATTATATGCACAGAGTTGGAAAGGGGTAGAGAAGATAGCAAGAGACCATGTGCTGGGTGGCTGAGCGGTCTAATCTGTCTCAAACCAAAAAGCCGGTGGTCCGGAGTTCAATCCCCACCAAAGCCATCCCAAGCACCCCGGGTGGATGGGACTCGTTAGCCTTGGACCGCAACCCATCTAAGAGAAGGCAAACTCTGAATTTAAACCAGGAGCCAGAATGATCAACAAATTAATCGTGGGCCCCTCAAATATAAGAAGAAAATATGAGAAGAATTGTTAATGGCCTATACAAACCCCTGCAAGTTGAAAAGGCAAAGAAGAAGATCATATGAATTTAAAAGTAATCAAGTTGAAACCTGATTACAAAGTATCCAATAAATTAAGCACTTAATAAATATTTTAAAAGTTTTAAGTGTTCAATTTAATGCACACCAAGAAAGACCCTATTATTCATGAAACAATTTATTTCACAAAAATGTATCAAAATGCCATTTGAAAATGTTCCCATATAACCATAAGGAGGTTGCAAATGTTTGATAGTTGTTGACAAGAGGGGGGGGGGAGGAGTTTAGATTAGTTGATGTCAAAAATCATGTTTTTTTCTATTAGAATTTTAATCTTAAAAATTGACTTGTACTTAACACTATTTTAAACAATGTAATGAGTGTAAATAGTCATATATGTGTAGGATTTTAATGATACAATAGTGATTTAATGTGTGTCTGTCTGTGCACTGAAGATGGTTGGTCAGAATGTTAGTACACTTTGTTAGTGTAAGAGAAGTCAAAAGTTGGCATCTCTTAAGCTGTCATTTTTCTCTTAATCCGCTCCCTAGAATGATTAACACATCATTGTACACTGTGTTCAATTAAAAAAAAAAACCCAACTCATCAGTGTTCAATAACAACTATACCAACTCAAAGACATAGAGAGCTTATAGCAATTATTGCTCACACCAACAATACTTATATTTTAAGTGCAGAATGGTTAGATAAGGTTGCTGTTGACTTGTCTGATATATCACAATATCAGTTCCGCAAGATGAAAATGATAAATCAACTACTACACACTATGTCCATTAGGGGCATGGTTTCAGTTTTTTTTTCA